ATATATATATGGTTGAGGCTTGCTTTGTGGCTGAGTATATTTTAAATGTTCCATGTGTGCTTGAAACTAAGTATATTCTCAACTTTGGAGTGCAGGGGTCTATATAATAGATACATTATTCATTACAATAGCAAGCTTGTTAACATCTTTGTTCAAATATTTTTCCATTTCATTATTTTTAAATTTTTCTGTCTTTATATGTTAGGTATCTCCCTTATAAATAACATATACTAAGATTCGTGGTTTTTAATTTGACAATCATTATTAACTAGAGAGTTTAGTCTATTTCCATTATGGTGTTTACTTGCATTGTTGAACTTATTTTTCCTATTTTATTTTGGTCTTATTATCTACTCTGTTCTTTCTGTGCTTTTGTTTCCTCCTTTTCTAAATTCTCCTAGATTAATAAAGTTTTTATTTTCAAATCCTCATCCTTTTTCTCCTCTACTTGGTTTTGAAATTATTCATTTTATTCTTATTCCTTTAGTAAACCAAAACCAAACTCACTGCCATCGAGTCAATTCAACTCATAGTGACCCCTCCTTGGGTGTCCGAGGTGGTATCTCTATGGAAGTAGATTGCCCAATCTTCCTTCTGAGGAGTAGCTGGTAGGTTTGAACCACCAGCCTCTGGTTAGCAGTCAAATGCCTTAGGCATAGGAATCTTTAAATTTATACCATGAACACTTGACCTAGAAAGTCCTCACCTCCCTAAGAAATAATATAAAGAACATCATTATCCTATCTTATCCTAAATGTTTGATTCCAGTATTTGTGTCTACTTTATTTTTACATCCCAAAAGTTAATCACTATTATTTTATAACAAGCAAATATTATTATTGTTGATCAGACAGTGCTTACTCACATTTACCTATTTACCAACTTCTTGGTTTGATGTTCCTTTTTGCATGTTACTCCTTCATTCTGGATTCTATTTTCTTTTCCTTAGACTACATTCACTGGTGTTTCATTAGTGAGAATCTCTTATTATTAGATTGAACCATAGGCTATTACTGATATCTGACAGTTTTTTGACCTACAGTCTATGGTACAACCTAATAGTAAACTCTCTCAGTCTTTGCTCTCTCAGTATTTTGTTTTTATTTTACTTGTACTCATGGACTTATTACTCTGGTTTTAGCCAGTGGGGATTTTCCTTCCTTCTCTGAGAGCTCATCAAGGGTGTTTATTCCATTTTACTTTATATTTTTAGAAATTTTTAGGTTGAGAAGTTCTTGTATTGGCAGTTTCTTGACTACTCTATTTTCATCATGGTCTTTAAATAATTAAAAAGATCCTCTTTATTTTCTTCAGGGTTTCTTTATGCCTTTAATTTTAATTTGTCTGATGTTTATATTGCTACTAGTGCTTTATTTTTATTTACATTTGTCTGTGTGTCTTCACCAAACATCTTACTTTTAGTCCATTTCCCTCACTTACTCCTAAATGGAAACAAGGGACAATTGAGTATTCTGGAAAAATAGTTCACTGTAACTCATCTTTTTTAGGGTATTGGATCATTGAGATGTCTCTTTCCTGGATAAATTCTGGAAAAAATGGAAAAGACCAAGGCCATAATATCACCTTATCACTAAATTAGAAGATGTAGCTTAGTGTAAAAACAAAATCCAAAACCAAACTCACTGCCGTCGAGTCGGATCCGACTCATAGCGACTCCTCCTTGGGTTTCCAAGGTGGTATTACTACGGAAGTAGATTGCCCAACCTTCCTTCCGAGGAGTGGCTGGTGGGTTTGAACCACCAGCTTTCTGATTAGCAGTCAAATGCCTTAGGCACTATGCCACCAGAGCTCCTGAAAACAGGCTTGCTAAAATTAAACCAACTTACCCTTCCAGAGCCTAGGCATTAAGGGGACGACAGTCAGATAAGTCTTACAGCAAAGGGTGAATAGAGAGTCTTCCAAAAGGAGAAAAACAGAGGACCTAAAATGACCATGCCTAGTTTATATTTCCAAATTCCATGATCAGATTATTCTACCACTTTTCCTGGAGAGAGGAGCAATTGATGAGATGAAGAGAAGCCAGGAATGACACATCTTGGCTTGGAAGGAAAGAACAGAATCAAGAAGAAGTACTCCTCTTTAACAAGAGAAGGGGAAGAAGAAACCAACACTTGCTGAGTACTTGCCATGATTTAAGGAGCTCTAGTGGTGTGGCGCCTAAGGCATTTGACTACTAACCAGAAGGGTAGTGGTTCAAACCCACCAGCCATGCTGTAGAAGGAAAATGGGGCAATTAATTCCATGAAGATTTACTACCTTGGAAACCCAAAGGGGGATGGTGTCACTATGAGTTGGAATCTACTCAATGGCAGTGAGTTCTTTTTTTTTTTTTTGCCACGTTTTGAACCCTGGCTAAAAAATAAACCAAAACCATTGTCATCAAGTCAATTCTGACTCATAGCAACCCTACAGGGCAGAGTAGAACTGTCCCATAGGGCTTCTAAGGCTGGAAATCTTTATGGAAGCAGACTGACTCATCTTTCTCCCACAGAGTGGCTGGGGTTTCAAACTGCTGACCATTTGGATAGCAGCCAAATGCTTTAACCACTATGCCACCAGAGCTTCTTGGACTCTGGCTAAACCAAAAACAAACTCCAAACTCACTGTCATCGAGTTGGATCCAACTCATAGCAACCCCTCCTTGGGTTTCCAAGGGGGTATCACTATGGAAGCAGACTGCCCAACCTTCCTTCTGAGGAGTGGCTGATGGGTTTGAACCACCAGCCTTCTGGTTAGCAGTCAAATGTCTTGGGCACTACTCTACCAGTGTTCCCACTAGTCAGTTTAAATTGAACTCTGGCTAGTCAGTTTAAATTGATTATTTTAGTTAATCTTCACAAAACCCAGTGAGGTGGTTATATTATTCCCTTTGAAAATTTGAGGCTCAGGGAACTTAAGTATCTTGTCCAATCTGTAACTTACATTTAGCAAATGAGGGGAAATTATTCTAGTTCCTTACCTCCCACAATGAGTTTATGAATGTAAAGTACTGATTATTCCAACCTAATTTTTCATTTATTCTATTTGCAGAGGGGCTCTTGATACTCGTGGAAGCTTTGGAGATGTAAATGCCACTGAATGTCTGCATGTGCATTGTCGAGGACTAGAGATGAGTTTGGCTGAATGTACTTTTACTAAGAGCAGAACTACCAAGGACCAGAATTTAGCTGGTGTTGTGTGTTACACAAAGAGTTCCACAGGTTGGTGGAATATTTATCTGATATTTTCCCTTCCTTCAAAGTCATTTATTTCATACCAAGCCAGTAGTAAACAAATGATTGATACCCAGTTGGCAGCTACAGAGGCCTCAATCATATTTTAAGTTTTGGAGGCTAACTAGTACTTTCTCCTTATTGTACCTTTTACATTCAAATATGACTTCTTCCTAGATTCTTATAGAAGTAAAGTTGCCTGACTTCCCTTTATCTCCTTGAATATCTGAATTAAAGTTAGCACATCAAATGCAAGTCAGGAGTATCAGAAGAAACTTCAGCATCAACTTTGAAAGGCCCAGATTATATATCCCAAAACCAAACCCTCTGCCATTTAGTTGATTATGACTCATAGTGACTCTATGGGACAGAGTAGAACTGCTACATATGGTTTCCAAGGCTATAAATCTTTACAGAATCAAACTGCCTCATCTTTCTCCCATGGAGTGGCTGGTGGGTTCAAACCACCCACCTTTTGTTAGTAGCCGAATGCCTCAACCACTGTGCCACCAGAGTTCCTCCAGATTATATACATTCTTTTAAAGTATGTAGATGACCATTTCAGTGCCTCATTTTCTAGGAAATCACTGTCACTTTGTTTCTCCATCCTGGGACTGGAATATTTTAGCAATGTATACGGTGCTAAAGGCTTAAGCTAGGCCCTTCACTTTTCAGTGCAATAAAAGCATCATCAAAATGTAAATGACTAACACACAACCTACAGAATGGGAGAAGACATTTGCATCAGGGTTGTATCCTTTCACCATACTTATTCAGTCTGTACGCTGAGCAAATAATGTAAGAAGCTGAACTATATGAGAAAGAGCATGGCATCAGGATTGGAGGAAGACTCATTAACAACTTGCAATATGCAGACAACACAACTCTACTTGCTGAAAGAGAAGATGACTTGACACACTTACTGATGAAGATTAAAGACTACAGTCTGCAGGATGGATTACATCTCAATATAAGGAAAATGAAAATCCTCACAACTGGACCAATAAACAGCACCACAGTAAATGGAGAAAAGATTGAAGTTGTCAAAGATTTCATATTATTTGGTTCCACAATCAACACCAATGGAAGCAGCAGCTAAGAAATCAGACCACATATTGCACTGGCCAAATCTGCTGCAAAAGACCTCTTTAAAGTGCTGAAGATCAAATATGTCTCTTTGAAGATAAGGTGCTTCTAACCCAAACCGTGGTATTTTATATTGCCTCATGTGCATGTGTAAGCTGAACAATGAATAAGGAAGACCTAAGAAGAGTTGATGCTTTTAAGTTGTGGTGCTGGTGAAGAATTAGGAAAGTACTAGGACTGCCAGAAGAGCAAACAAATCTATCCTGGAAGAAGTGCAGCCAGAATGCTCCTTGGAAGTGAGAATGGGCAGACTTCGTCTCACCTAATTTGCTCTTGATGTCAGAAGGGACCATTCCCTAGAGAAGGATATCATGCCTGGTAAAGTGGAGGGTCAACAAAAAAGGGGGAGCCCCTTAATAAGATGGATTGACATAGTGGCTGCAATGATGGTCTCAGGTATACCAGGGATTGTGAGGCTGGCACAGGACCAGGTAGTGTTTCATTCTGTTGTATGTAGGGCCACTATGAGTTGGAGCTGGCTCGACAGCACCTAACAACAACAACAACAACATATCTGATAAGGATTTAATATCCAGAATATATAAAGAACTCCTACAACTCAACAACAAAAAGACAAACAATTTAAAAATGTGCAAAGGACTTGAACAGACATTTCCCCAAAGAGATATAGAAGGCCATTAAGTACATGAAAAGATGCATAACAAGGGGCTTCCAGCAAAATGGTGGAATAGGCAAACAAGCTACAAAGACCCTCTTTAACAAAGAAATGAGAAACCAATGGAAACAGATACAGAAGATAATCCTGGAACTCTGAGCTTTGAAGGGAAAGATAAAGTGGATTAAATAGCAACTGAAAGAACCTGAATGAAAACGGGGAATAGGGAGACAGACAGAACTGTGGATTATCAGCTGTCCTGATGGCATGGCCAATTTGAATATTTATAAGTGGTGTTCTAATCTGTGCAGCAACCTAAGAATTGGCTCTGCTTGTTAAGGACTGCATGGGCAACTGCACTGGTGACTGACAACTAGAAAGGAAAACAGTAAATAAGGAGACAAACTGAGATGTGGGCTTTTGGTTGTTCTGAGGGTGCAGCCATTTTGAATATTTGCAAGCAGTGCAGAAAATTTGCATATTTGCAAGTGGTGCTCTGATCCTGGCAGCAACCTAAGAATAGGCTCCACTTGCCAAGGACAGCATGAGTAACCACACTGAAGGCTGACAACTAGAAAGGAATGGTATTTCCCTTGTTACTCTTATATCCCATATCCTCTTGGTGAACAGAGGTGTGGCCATCCCCAACCCCCAACCTCCTTCTTGACTGGTAGGAATTCCATCCTAGGCTGCATGCCCTGATAGATCCTGCCCCCCCCCCGCCCAGTTTTATTTTTGTTGTTTACTTTTAAATTCTTTTTCTCTTTCTCTTTTCTTCCTTTTTATTTTTTTCCTCTTTCTTTACCCTGGCTCCTTTTTGTTTGTTTGTTTGTTTTTTCTTTTCATTTCCTGGTTTCCTTCTTTTTTCCTGTTTTTCTTCTTTTGTTTCTTCCCATCCCTTTTCTTTGTGCAGTTTTTGCATTTTTTCTTTATTATCCTTTTATTCTTGCTCTTTTCTCTCATTTATCACCACCCCCAAGATACTGTAGGGATTTTTTCCCCCCTCGTTTTCTCTTTATCTGTATTTTGTCTTTTTTAAATATATATTTAAAAAATTTTCTTCTCATTTATTGTCTTTTTCTCTTTTTTTGCAATTGTTCCTGTTTGTTTATGTGTTTTTTTTTTTTCTTTTAATTCTATTGTTTTTATTTTTATTTTTGGTGTTTTTTTTTTTTTATTGGTTTTTAATCTGAGTGGGACACAGCTCACACAACCCAATCATACTTGTACCTCCTGCAGCCCCACCCACTGAGTAAGGGTTACCACTTGCTTCTGCACCAACTGGCTAATAAAAGACGGCAGCCAATAGCAGCCCAATTCACCCTCAACTGCACTTCACAAACAGCTAACAGAGATCTGTGCACACATTCTCATTCTCTGCCATACCTACAAGAAAACAGGTGGTAAGAATCTAAGTGCTGTCAACTAATGAATAGAGGAGCACAATACTTTGTACACTCGGACCTATATAAACAAAATAAGGGGGAAAAAAATCTTGGGCAGATCACACCAAATACAATCACCAAATAAATATAAATACAATGACAATGCAATGTCTCAGAGACAACTGACCATCCTGTCCACACAAAGAAGCAAGATGAAGTAGTAGAAACAAGGGACAAGGGTATAGACACAGAAAACATCTCTGAGGAAGAAGCAGCATTGGAACTCCCTGATAAGGAATTCAAAAGAATTATATATAGGTATCTTCAATGGATTGAGAGACAGATGAAGGAAAACACTGACAAAATTAAAGAAAACACAGAAAAAAAAAAAAACCTCTAGAACAATTTAGGAAAACATTATAAGATGAATTGACAAAATAAACAAAAAATTAGAAACAATACAAAAGCAACACATAGAAATCTAGAAGGTTAATGCTAAAATTTCAGAAATAGATAACACATTGAATGAGCAAACGAGTAGAACTGAATCAACTGAAGACAGAATTAGTGAGATTGAAGACAAATACCTCAATAATACTTTGTTAAGGGACCAATCAGAAAAAAAGATCAAAACAAAATGAAGAAACCCTAAGATTCATGTGTGAAACCCTCAAGAGGAATAACTTACATGTGATCAGGATTCTAGAACAGGAAGAGAAAAATAAAACCACAAAGAAAATTATCAAAGATTTGTTGGAAGAGAATTTCCCTAATATGATGAAAGATGAGAAGATAGCCATTCAAGAAGTTCAATGAACTACAAACAGGTGAGACCCCAAAAGAAAACCATCAAGATATACCATAATCAAACTTGCCAAAACCAAAGCAAAGAAAGAATTCCAAAAGCAGCATGGGAAAAATGAACAATTATCTACAAAGGACAACCAATAAGACTATGCTCTGATTTCTCCACAGAAACCATTAGGTAAAAAGGCAATGGGATGATATATATATATAACCCTGAGAAAAAAAATCCAACCAAGAATTATATACCCAGCAAAACTGTCCCTCAAAAATGATAGTGAGGGTTTCCGGCAAGATGGCAGACTAGGCACAAGGACTGCACAGA